GGGTTTAAATAGTGACTGTGCCACTCACTAGTTGTGTGACCTTGGACAAGTTATGCAACCCACTTACAACCATGTCTTCATCTGTGAAATGAAGATGGTAATAGACATTCCACAGGATATCTGTGAAAATAAGATGAAGGAATACATGTAAGTTTAGCACGTGCAAGGTCACAGTGAATCTAGTTCCCACTAGAATGAACGTCTTGAGAAGTGCCTTCCCTTTTCCCCATAAAGCCTTCCCTTCCCCCCCAGTCTCTGCCTCCACACTGGAATTTATAAGCAGGATTTTTAACAAGACAGCACCTATCAGGCTAAATCTTAGAGTCAGTCCTCAGTCCTTATTCTCTCACCCCACACATTCAGTTCAGCAGGAAATCATGCCCTCTCTACTCTCAAAATATATCCAGAATCTGAACACTTCTCCGTAACTATCCCCTGATCTACGCCACCGTCAACTTTCACCTGATCTTTCTGCTCCCACCTGACCTGTCTGTTTTCCACAGGGATGCTTTGAAAATATAACTCAGATCACTTCAGTTCTCCTGCTCATATATTTGACTGTGTCAGGTCTTGGGTGTGGCATTGCAGGATCTTTCACTGCAAGATACTTGGGCTTAGTTGACCCATGGCATGTAGGATCTTAGTTTCCCAAACAGGGATCAAACCTATGTCCCCTGCATTCGAAGAGTGGATTCGTAACCACTGGACTACCAGAGAAGTCCCTCAAAATTTTCTAATCACTCCACTCAAGAGAAAACCCTAAGTTCTTACCATAGAAACCCTTGGATCTCTTATATTCTTCCCCTAGCTTCCTCAGCTTCAACCACAAAGCCTCGCTATTCTTCAAACTTGTCAACCTTGCTCCCACTTAATATTTATTGGTATTTCTTTCTGGAATGTTCTTTTCCCAGATAACCAAGTGTTTTTGATTTTACTACTTCTTTCAGGTCTGTGCTCAAATATAATCTTGCTAGGAAAGCATTTCCTGCCGCTCCTTAACTCTCTTAACCTACTTAGGAGTCACACCACCACCTCCTGCCATGTTTCATGTTTATTTGTTGACTGAATGCCTCTCGCCACTACAATGTAAGGCCACAAAAGCAGAATTTGTGTGTCTTGTTCACAGTGGTATCAGCAATGTTTAGAACAGCACTTGGCACAAGGTAGTTTCAAATTTGTTCAGCAAATTATTTTATTATCTATGAATCTTTGAGTTCAAATAAATAAAAGTATATTTATTAAATTTTTGCTGCTTTAAAAGATTCTGAAAATGAGAACTTTTTTGAGTATTTTTCTTTTTAAAAAGTTATTTATTTATTTGGTTGTGATGGGTCTTAGTTGTGGCATGCAGGATCTTTAGTTGTGGCATGTGAACACTCTGCTGCAGCATGTGGGATCTAGTTCTCTGATCGGGGATCAAATCTGGGCTCCCTGCACTGGGAATGTGGAGTCTTACTCACTGGACCACCAGGGAAGTCCCTTGAGTACTTTTCTTATATTAATTTAGAATAAATATTTGTGTGTATTAATTGTGCTCAGTCATGTCCAGCTCTTTGTAACCTCATGAACTGTAGCCCACTAGGGTCCTTTGTGTCTAGAAGTTTCCAGGCAAGAATACTGGAGTAGGTTGCCATGCCCTTCTCCAGGGGATCTTCCCCACCCAGGGTTAGAACCTGCATCTCCTGTGTCTTCTGCATCGTGGGCAGATTCTTTACCACTGAGCCACTGGGGAAACCCATATTTAAGGACACTTTCTATAAATTGTAAGGGCTTCCCTGATAGCTCAGTTGGTAAAGAATCCGCCTGCAATGCAGGAGACCCCAGTTCAATTCCTGGGTCGCAAAGATCCCCTGGAGAAGGGATACGCTACCCACTCCTGTATTCTTGGGCTTCCCTTGTGGCTCAGCTGGTAAAGAATCCACCTGCAATGCAGGAGACCTGGGTTCGATCCCTATTCTATAAATTGTACAAAATATTTTCACTCACTTCTCATTAAAAACTAATCCCATTACTACAAAACCAATGGCAAGAAGGGGTGAAGTATCACGTCTTTCTTCTGGGTGGTCATTTGCTGACTTGAAATTCAGCAGTCCTACTTCTGTAGGGGGAGTGGGGGTAAATAAATATTGGAGGAGGGGATTAGTCTTTGTCACAGTTCTCTGTACTTTTTCATTGTAAAGAGCTCTGCCTCTCATTTCCCCAATTGTCTCCTACCCTCATCTATTGCTTTTCTTTCTCAGTGTGGATTCAAGAAAGTGATCAATTCCTGCACTAGAGTTTAGCCCAAAGTCATCTCTCATGGACTCTGAAATACCCCACCCATCACTGAAAGTCTCATGCCTTCTTACTGTCAGAGATTTTGCATGAATAGCCCCAGGACTTGTAGTCATATACATCAAATCTGTGTTTCTCTTCTGGGGCATTAGGAGGTGGGGAGTAACGTAACCCTAGTACTGAATACTCAGGAGATACAGTAAGAGAAACAGGCCACAAAGAGGATCCTTTATATTCGGAAACAGTCTGGGTTGTGGTTGTTGTTTTTAAAGATACTTGGTATGTTAAACAATTATATTGGGACTTCCCTGGTGGTCCAGTGGTTAAGACTTCGCATTCTAGTACAAGGAGTGTGGGTTCGTTCCCTGGTCAGGGAACTGAGATCCCATGTACCTTGTGGTCAGAAAACCAAAACATTAAACAGAAGCAATATTGTAAGCAATACAATAAAGACTTTAAGAATGGTCCACATTAAAAAAAAAAAATCTTAAAACAAAACCAATGATGTTGTTCACAAAAGGCTATTTCCAAACAAACAAGGATTTTATTCTAGTATTTTCCTTTTTTTCCCCCTTTTAGATGATTTTGAAAGGTACCCTGCTCTGAACTTGGTTGATGCTGTGACTCAAGAGACATTAGTTTGCAGTACACATCTGAAATATGATTTGAAGAAAGACTGAATGTATTTTGACTTAAGCGTGTAGTGAATGCTGCAGAGAGCGACTCTGGCTCCCCTCACACCACCTCCCACTCCCCAGCTCTCAGCTAGATCCTCCCTAGGAACTGCCCTCAGCCAAAAAGAACCACCCGACCTTCCTTCCTGACAGCTCACAGCTGAGGGCTGGACAACATGGAGCCGCCCTGACCCACTCCACTGCCTCATGACAGGCCTTCCCAGCTCCAGAGGTGCCTGTGAGACCCCACCACACGTCAGCTTCTCCCTCAGTCAATCCTGTCTCCTCCCCTTTCCCCACAGGTGTTCAGACTCATAAGATCTACTAATAATTACTACACACAAATCTTCATCTCAGAGTCTGTTCCCAGGAAAACTGACCTCAGTCAGCTTCTGAAGACCCGGATTTGAAGAATAGTCCTATTAATATTCTAGTCTGTTTTTGTATGTCAGTCAGAGCACTATTCTATTTACCTGATTACAGGAAGAGATAATTCTGGGTGGATTTTTTTATTTGTTTCTTTCACATCACAATAGAAAAAAGTATTTTTGGAAAATGTGAAAATAAATAAAACTCAGAACTCTTTAGTTTTAAAATTTGCGGCCAAGGTAATCTTATATTAGAAAATAAAAATAAATGTTCTTTACATTCTCTTTTATTATTATTAGCTTTTTAAAGCAATAAACATAAAAATAATGATTTGTGAAAAAAAGAGATAGAATTAATAATAAAGTAGAAGAACTGGTAGCAGTTATCTAAACTTTACCACTATTCAGGTTCAAGAATGGAAAATACTTTCAATTTATATATATGTATATGTATATATATATGTATATGTGTATATGTATGTATATATATATATGTTATGTATATATATACACACACACATACAACTAGAGATATAATTTATATAGTATATTAAATTCTAAGATTATACTGTGCTCTACAAATTAACCACAAGTTGAGAAAGTAACTAATGAAATAGTGAGTACTTAGGGCCTACCAATTTACACAAATATATTTAATTTTACAACCATATCACAAGGTAAGCATTATTGTCCGAATTTTATAAAGAATTTTATAAAGTTTCAGAAAAATTAAGTCATTCTTTTTTTTTTTAGTTAAATCATTCTTATAGATCACCTAAACAGTATGTAGTAAGGTCAGAGTTCAGCTCAGATCTGCCTGCTTTTAGGACTGAAGTTGTGATGTAACTTCATATTGTGTGTAGTTTCTGATTTCTAAATGGATGAATGGGCTTGATCAGGGACTTCCCTGGTGGTCCAGCGCATAAGACTCTGTGCTCCCAAAGCAGGGGGCCCATGTTCAGGCCCTGGCCAGGGGACTAGATCCCACATGCTTCAGCTAAAATTCCCTCATGCCTTAACTAAGACCTGACGAACTAGGCTGGACCAGAACACAGAGTTCGGTTCTAGAATGACAATAGATAACAATAGTTCACAGAAGCTTTTACTGAACTCTAACCCCAATAACAAACAAGAAATAGAAGATATGCTTTCACATATATATATATAATTTTGCTTTCTCTTTGACTGTACCAGGTCTTCCTTGCGGCATAGACTTCTCTTGCTGTGGAGCCCAGGCTCCAGGGCACTCAGGCTTACGTAGTCGGGGCGTGTCAGTCAGTTAGTTCAACTGCTAGGTCGTGTCTGACTCTTTGCAACCCCATGGACTGCAGCACGCCAGGCTTCCCTGTCCATCACCAACTCCCGGAGCTTACTCAAACTCATGTCCATTGAGTCTGTGATGCCATCCAACCATCTCATCCTCTGTCGCCCCCTTCTCCTCCTGCCTTCAATCTTTCCCAGCACCAGGGTCTTTTCCAATGACTCAATTCTTCGCATCAGGTGGCCAAAGTATTGGAGTTTCAGCTTCAGCATCAGTCCTTCTAATGAATATTCAGGATTGATTTCCACTAGGATGGACTGGCTGGATCTCCTTGCAGTCCAAGGGACTCTCAAGAGTCTTCTCCAACACCACAGTTCAAAAGCATCAATTCTTTGGTGCTCAGCTTTCTTTATGGTCCAACTCTCACATCCATACATGCATGACTGCTGGAAAAACCATAGCTTTGACCAGATGGATCTTTGTTGGCAAAGTAATGTTTCTGCTTTTTAATATGCTGTCTAGGTTGGGCTTCTCTGGTGGTTCAGATGGTAAAGCATCTGCCTGCAATGCAGGAGACCTGGGTTCAATCCCTGGGTTGGGAAGATCCCCTGGAGAAAGAAATGGCAACCCACTCCAGTATTCTTGTCTGGAAAATTCCATGGACAGAGGAGCCTGGTAGGCTACAATCCGTGGGGTCGCAAAGAGTCGGGCATGACTGAGCAACTTCACTTTCACTTTCAGGTTGGTCAGCTTTTCTTCCAAGGAGCAAGCGTCTTTTAGTTTCATGGCTGCAGTCACCATCTGCAGTGATTTTAGAGCCCCAAAAGTAAAGTCTCTCACTGCTTCCATTTTTTCCCCATCTATTTGCATGAAGTGATAGGACCAGATGCCATGATCTTAGTTTTCTGAATGTTGAGTTTTAATCCAACTTTTTCACTCTCTGCTTTCACTTTCATCAAGAGACTCTTTCGGAGAGAAAAAGATGGCGGAGAAGTAGGTGGACATGGAGTACATCTCTCTCCATGGATACATCAGGAATACACCTTTCCACAAAGAAGTGCATGCAGAATACCAGCTGAGAGTGGACAGGAGTATCTGACCAGTGGAAAAGAATATATAGAACCACACAAAACTTGGTAGGATGAAGGAACTACGGGGAAAATCAGGAGTGTTAGTAGGACTGGACCTGCCCTCCACGGGTGGGGGAACTGAAGCAGGGGTCCGATCCCCACTGCAGGACAGTTGTCTGAGTCAGAAGAGAAACATTTAAGGCTGAGACTGAAATAGCTGATTTGTGGCAGCCTAAATGGAATGAGAATCAGATAGTCCTTGCCGCAGTCACGTGAACCCCGGGCAGGAACGTAGGTCTCCTGGAAGGGCAGCTGCTGGGAGCTGGAGTTGAGGGATTGTGGAGCAATCGCTGGGCGAGGGCTGCTGTTGACTGCAAAGAGACGGATCAAGGGGATGTGAGGGAGGAGATCATGGTGGAAAGTGCCTGTGGAGGGAAGCCAGGCAGCCATGGAAGCAAGGCGATACTGCTGAGTCACGTGTAAGGGGTGAAGCCACCACCATAGCCTCTGTCTCTCCACATGCCAGCATAGGCAGCTGAACAACAGAGAGGCTGGCCCACCAAACACCTGACGCACTGAACTACAGAGTAGAGCCCCACACAGGGTGCTCCTTCAGTGACTGATGCGCGGAACTACAGAGTGGGACCCCCCACCCCCCGCCGCCCAGAGTGCTCCTTTAAGTGACCAATGTGCCGAGCAACAGAGAAGGACCCCAGGCAAGGGATCCCTCTAAGTGCTTGAATGGGCAGAGCCATGGAGAGAGACTGGCCAAAGAAGCCTTCTGATCCCCAGCTACAAGAGGCTCGAAAAAAGACTCCGATAGATCCATAACTTCTGCTGCGGAGGCAGTCTGTGTCCTTGCACACGTGGTGCTGCCAGGGTCCCCACAAGTCAAGTAGCTACACCACCTTCATGCTCAACTATCACAGGGGCAGAGCTGCTACAGGCAAAAAAAAAAAAAAAATTCTTGCATCTATGCGTGCAGGGTCCTTTCGGACCTGTCCAACTCTTTGCGACCCTGTAGACTGTGGCCTGCCAGGCTTCTCTGTCAGAGAGGAGATTCTCCAGGCAAGAATACTGGAGCGTATTGGCCAATTCTGGTTGCCATACCCTTCTAGAGCACTATATTTCCTACTACCCTAGACACCAACCCCCCTGAGTACCTGGCGCTGCCAGAACCCCTGTGACCCAAGCAGCTGCACCACCTCCACACCTTGCTCTCACAGGGGCAAACCCAAGCCATCTAGGGCAGCCTCAGGAGCTAAACCCCAGTGGACGACCCACACGTAGAGGTGGAAATAAAACCACAATTGAAACCCAGTGGCAGTGTGGCTAAGGAAGAAGACTCAAAACTTTCCCACCAGCTGTACAAGTCATACGATTAAATCCAGAAGATTTAAATCCACAAGATCAACTAAGCAGACTCTGTGTCTATGGAATATATAAAAGGCCACTGAGAGCTCCCACAAAAGAAAATGCACTAGCTCTAATAGCTGTAGACATTGGAGGCAAGAACACACAGGAGTAGGACCAGATTAGAATGTGAGCAGCCTCCACAGCAACTCCAGAGATGAGCACAGTGTTGGAGGGCATCCTAGGGAGGTAAGGTGAACTGTGATTCCCAGCGAGGGAAAGGATTTAGACAGCAGTGACTCAAGAAAAACATTTATTGTCTTGTTTTTGGACTTGTTCTGTAGATTCTTTTGGATATTCCCCCCTTTCTTTCCCCTCTGTTGTAGTTGTCGATTTTATTGGCACTAAGAAATCAAATTAAGCTTTTGAGGTTTTTTTAATCTTTCTTTTTCCTCAGACACATTTTTTATTGTCATCATAAACCTCTGCCTTTACATTGGGCTTTTGCATTCTGTGGAGTTTTCCTCTTTTTTTTTCTTTTCTCTTTCTTTAATTTTATTTTTTAAACATATTATTAAGTTTAAAACAGCTTTACAACAAATGTTAAATGGATTTATACGGTCAAGAAATACAAGAGAAGAAAAAAGAAAGAAAAAATCAACCCCAAACAATTAGAAAATGGCAATAGGAACATAGATATCAATAATTACTTTAAATGTAAACGGATTAAATGCTCCAACCAAAATAGATGGACTCACTGAATGGATACAAAAATAAGACCCATATATATGCTGTCTACAAGAAACCCACTTCAGACCTCAAGACACGTATAAACTGAAAGTGAGAGGATGAAAAAATATATTCCATGCAAATGGGAAGCAAAAGAAAGCTGGAGTAGCAATCCTCATATCAAACAAAATAGACCTTAAATTAAATTAAAGAATATTACAAGAGATAAGGAGGGATACTACATAATGATCAAGGGATTGCTCCAAGAGGAAGACATAACAATTGTAAATATCTATGCACCCAACATAGGAGTACTTCAATACATAAGATAAACACTAACAGACATAAAAGGAGAAATTGAAAGTAACACAATAATAGTAGGAGACTTTAACACCCCACTCATACCAATGGACACATCATCAAAACAGAAAATTAATAAGGAACACAAGTCTTAAATGATATATTAGATGAGATGGATCTCATTGATATCTTCAGGACATCCCATCTAAAAGGAGAAGAATACATCTTCTTCTCAAGTACACATGGAACATTCTTCAGCATAGACCACATCTTGGGGTCACAAGTCAAGCCACAGTAAATTTAAGAAAATTGAAACCATATCAAGCATCTTCTCCGACCACAGTGCTATGAGACTAGATATCAATTACAAGAAAAAACTGTAAGAAACACAAACACATGGAGATTAAACACCATGTTTCTAAATAACCAACAGGTTACTGAAGAAATCAAACTCAAGAAATAAAAAAATTTCTAGAAACAAATGACAATGAAAACATGACAACTCAAAAATCTATGGAATGCAGCAAAAACTGTTCTAAGAAGGAAGTTTATAGCAATACAATCCTACCTCAAGAAACAAGAAAAACATCGAGTAGACAACCTAACTTTACACCAAAAGCAACTGGAAAAAGAACAAGAAAACCCCCAAAATTAGTAAAAGGCAAGAAATCATAAAGATCTAAGCAGAAATAAATGAAAAAGAAATGAAAGAAACAACAGTAAAAATTAATAAAACCAAAACTTGGTTCTTTGAGAAGAAAAAGTTGACAAACCCTTAGCCAGACTCATCAAGAAAAAAAAAGAGAGAAGAATCAAATCAACAAAATTAGAAATGAAAAAGGAGAGGTTACAAAAGACAATGCAGAAATACAAAGGATTATAAGAGACTATTATGAACAACTATATGGCAATAAAATGGATAACCTGGAAAAAATGGACAGATTCTTAGAAAAGTTCAATCTTCCAAGACTGAACCAGGAAGAAATAGAAACTATGAACAAGCCAATTACAAGCACTGAAATCGAAGCTGTGATTAAAAATCTCCCAAAAAGCAAAAGCTCAGGACCAGATGGCTTCACAGGAGAATTCTATCAAACATTTAGAGAAGAACTAATGCCTATCCTAAAACTCTTTCAAAAAATTGCAGAGGAAGGAACACTTCCAAATTATTCTATGAGGCCACCATCACCCTGATACTAAAACCAGACAAAGACAACACACAAAAAGAAAACTACAGGCCAATATCACTGATGAACATACATGCAAAGATCCTCAACAAAATTTTAGCAAACAGAATTCAGCAACACATCAAAAAGCTCATACACCATGATTATGTTGGATTTATTTCAGAGATGCAAGGATTCTTCAATATACACAAAACAATCAATGTGATACACCATATTTAACAAATTTAAAGAAAAAACCATATGATAATTTCAATAGATGCAGAAAAAGCCTTTGACAAAATTCAGCACCTATTTAAGATTAAAATTCTTCCAAAAATGGGCAGAGAAGGAACCTACCTCAACATAGTAAAGGCCATATATGATAAGCCTACAGCAAACATTATTCTCAATGGTGAAAAATTGAACACATTTCCCTTAAAATCAGGAACAAGACAAGGGTGTCCACTTTAGCCACTATTATTCAACATAGTTCTGGAAGTCCTAGCTACAGCAATCAGAGAAGAAAAATAAATAAAAGGAATCCAGATTGGAAAAGAAGAAGTAAAGCTCTCACTGTTTGCAGATGACATGATACTGTACATAGAAAACCCTAAAGATAGTATCAGAAAATTACTAGAGCTAATCAGTCAATTTTGCAAAGTTGCAGGATACAAAATCAATACACAGAAATCACTTGCATTTCTATATACTAACAGTGAAAAATCTGAGAGAAAATTACAGAATCAGTCCCATTCACCATTACAACAAAAAGAAAAAAATATCTAGGAATAAACTTACTGAAGGAGATGAAAGAACCATACACAGAAAATTATAAGACACTAATGAAAGAAATAAAAGATGACATAAACAGATGGAGAGATATTCCATGTTACTGGGTAGGAAGAATCAATACTGTGAAAATGACTATACTACCAAACACAATCTAGAGATTCAATGAGATCCCTATCAAATTGCCAATGGCATTTTTAACCAAACTAGAACAAGAAATCTCACAGTTCATATGGAAACATAAAAGACCCCAAATAGTCAAAGCAGTCTTGAAAAAGAAAAATGAAGCTGGAGGAATCAAGCTTCCTGACTTTAGATTATGCCACAAAGCTACATTCATGAAGACAGTATGGTACTGGCACAAAAGCAGAAATATAGGCCAATGGAACAGGATAGAAAGCCCAGAAATAAACCCATGCACCTATGGGTACCTTATTTTTGACAAAAGAGGCAAGGCTATACA